CTACTTGAAGGGATTATCTTTTTTCCTGCAAACGCACAGAACTTGAATGCATCAAGTCTTTGCTTGCTCATGCAATCAGAGTAACACCTAAACTGGTGATGCGCTGAAAGCAGTGTACCCCATCTGTTCAATTAATTTGTAATCCCAGCATCCAGACTGAATCACACTTGTGTCTTTTAACTAATCCTTACAGGGAAATCTGCTGAGCTACTGGGGTGTCACCTTACTGACTGGTACCTTCCAGCAGCGCCTCGTGAGCCCCAGCTGCTCTGGTGTAGAAGTTCTTGCTCTGACAAGCAAAGAGAGGCAAAGGCTGTCTCACAGTAGTGAATAAAGGAGTCTGCTTTTAAATCTTTTGTGAAATCCAATGAACAGAAACTGCCTTAGATCAGTCAAGAAATGATATGATTCTAGTATTTTTATACACTTGATGGTGAAGAAAATGAAGCAAGGGTGTTTAGCCAGGCGCGATGCATCTTCTGAATTAAGATCAAGAATGTGACAGGTCTCCATCGCTGCTGGTGCTCTAGACTGCCTGGGCCATGCTGCAGGGAAGTTGGTAGCAAATCTTGCAGAAAACATGCAGGAAAAATGATTTTGCTTTGACAAGCAGACAAGACACAGGCAAATGGTGGGAAAGAACTGGATGCATCCTTTTTACTAAATGGGAGGAGAATCCAAATGACTTACGTTCCCTGTCAATGCAAGACATCTGCCCAAGCTAGAAAATGACCTGACAGGTCCTTATAAGTTGGACAAACTGTATTACTAGCTGGGGAGGCATACAGAAAAGGGAACACCATCAGCCCACTTACTTTTTTTGAAGCTAGTGCTTTTAAACCACCTGGTTTTCTATAGCCCCTGTGTGCTAGTCAGGTCCAATTCAAATATGTGCAAGCATTTTAACAGTCTGCTAAGCAGTATTAGTTTATTGTTCCTCAACTGTAAATAAGTCCTTGCCCCGAACAGCCTGCCACCTTGATAGTTTCCTTGAGGGTGAAGACTGCCTGGCAGAAGCTATTAAAATAAAACTAGAGATTAAAAACCAAGCATGTAATCCAGCAAAAGTCATGAAGATGGTGGTTGTTTTAACCACATCAACAACTGGAAAAGGAAATATGCAACTTTTCAGAGAAGTAGAAATTATTTAACATCCTAGAAATTATTAAGATAATTAAAGGATTGCAACACCTGTTACAAAGGCTGAGACCTGGAATTGTCAGCCTGGAGAAGAGATGGCTCCAGGAGGGATTTTATCAGTGTGTATTAATATATGCGGGTGAAGAGTAAAGAGGATAGAACCAGGTTCTTCTCAGTGGTGCCCAGTGGCAGGACAGGAGGCAATGGGCACACACTGAAACAAAGGAAATTCTGTTTAAATGTAAGAAAAACCTTTTTTCACTGTGAGAAAGATTAAACACTGGTACAGCTTGTCCAGAGGTTGTGGAGTCTCCATCCTTGGTGATCTTCAAAACCTGACTGGACACAGTCACAGGCAATCTGCTCTAGTCGACCCTGCTGTGAGTGAAACAGTTGGACTAGATGGTCTCTAGAGGCTCCTCCTGACCTTAACCATTTTCTGACGAGGAAAGAAAGGCTTTCTAAAGGAGTTTAACTGAGGGCGGTTAGGGCTTTTTATCAAAAGATAAGTATTTTCTCAAAAAAATGAAATTATTGTCCAGATTGGTGTTGAGTGCCATGCCACACAATATAATTATAATGAATTAATGCTTCAATGACCTAATGAAGTTAAATATGACCTAATGAAGTTAAATACAACCTAATCTGCTCCAGTGTTCCCTAGAAAAAAAGACTGGAAGGGGAAGAGGTGTGCCCAGCTGCCCTCTTGAAGTTATTTGGGCTTTTGGCAGCTGCTGGTGGTTCTGAGACATTTGCCCTCCCTGTTTTCCTGGCGTGCTCCAGCTCTCTTGGCTGCTCCTGCTGCACCTGTGTCCCCTCAGAAAGCAGCTGCTGTGGGCTGTGGTGTATTTAATGGGAGCCACATGGCCAAAGCAGCTTGGCACTGACCATGCTGGTTTGCTGCTTTATTCCTCCATTTGAATAGATGCGTCTTAAGAGAGCTCAAACACAGAGAGGAAGTGGCTTCAGAGGCTCTCCAAGGTCAAGAAACTCTGTGTTTGCTGATTGTTCGGTAGTTGTAGCAGGGGTTTGGATGTGCTTTTACTCTTCTTGTACTCTGCTGATCTGCTGGCTGCCAGCTCCACCTATTGCTTTCTTCTTTCTCCAGGTTTAAAGATTTGATTTGGAGGAACATTGGTACAATATGATGATACTGCTCATTCTTACAGCTTTGATGACCCTATAGACTGATGAGGGTGACTGGGAGTGCTCAAAGTCAAAGAGGTGCTTTGCTAGAAGGAAAGAATTACAAGCTCTGATTCCTCCAGGCAAAGGAATAAACTCTAGGTTTCATAAGGTTTTTGTGGGGATATTTCCCTCAGGCCTGAGATAACCAGAGTCAGAGTCAGGCCAAGTGGTGGTATTGTGGTGCAGCAGTTTGTGAAGACAGACCAGGGACATTGCGTGTGCCACCTCAAGAGGCAGGGAGGTGATGAGCACCCATTGTGTTGCAGGCTGGCGCGGTTGTGGCCAGGTTTCTTGGACACTTGTACACCTTGCAGCCACCACAGGCCCCAGGCTTGCTAAGTTCACAGGGGTGACGAAAGGAAGGCAAATGGCAGTGTGTGCCAGATGCTCGTAGCACAGACATAGGGAGTGACTGAATGCACTGGGGTTGCTCTCCACAGCCACAGCTTCTTTGGAGATTAGTAATGAGTCAAAGCTGCAGCCAGGGAAGTGATGACTGGTGGATGTGAAGCAGCTGATACAGCTTTTCCTTGTCAACTGTTTCACCAAACTTCTTCAGTGACCAAAAGCCAGAGTTGACCAACCTCTGAAACACCAAGTGGCCAGGAGATCTTCACACCTCCTAAGTGATTTTCTTGCTAGGTGGACTGCAGTAGTGCAAGGCTAATGTTTTAATACGCACAGTTTGTATTTTGTTTTGTGAGACCAGATAGCAGTGACTTCAGTCTTAAAACTGGGATGCATTGCCTCTCCTTGATTCATCCTAATCCTTCCCCTGGCATGTTAGGCATTCATATGGGTTGGATTAGCGCTCACAAGTGCTGTTCATCCTGGAAGCTCTTTCTAAACTAAAGCTTACGTGTAATGTTTTTTTCTAAAATAGTTTGTCTGAGGTGCTCTTGCTGTGATCCTTTATTAGCTCCTTTTTACTTTGACATTTGCTTGTTCAAAAGTTGTTGAGCAGGAAAGCGCTTGCTGCTTTTTAATGAATCTTCTCACCAGCTCTTCCCTCTCTATGTAATACTGACTGCTCTTGAAAAGATTTGCATTGCCTGTGCCTTTGGTGGATTTCTAGGTCTCAAATTTGGATGTAAAGATGTTGGGGAGTGTGGGGGGAATGCAGTGGTCTAAGCTCTGGGTTTTCCCTAGCTGCAGCTTGATTAAATAAATAATTGTTGAAATAAATCCTAAATACTCTTACTTCTGGATGTTCTTAATGGATCTCATATTACTTCAAGGTATGAAGGCAGGAGTTACTTGTGTCTCTTCACTGTCTCAGCTTGTGCAATTGTTTGGATGCTCTTTTGGGGTGGGGGGGTGGAAATAGTGTGGGTTGGTTGGTTTGGTTGGATTTTTTGGTTGTTCCTGAACTTGCTTCTGGTGACACGCAATTCTCCACCTGATAGACAGAACCAGGGCACAATCATAAACTCTTGATGTAGTCAGAGTGAACTGTGGCAGTGTTCTACCTGTTTTGCACCTCCTGAATCTCTTCCTCCCTGAGCTCATGTTGGGCAGTGCTGGTTGTGAAGCAGTGGCTGCTTCTGAGTAACCTTCAGAATGAGCAGCGCAAGTAGTGAGTCTCTTCCTGTAATTCACAAGTTACAGTGAGTGGCCTTGGCTATCTCATGAACTTTTTAATGATAAGTGTGAGGTACAAATCTACCTCTGTAAGTGACTTATTCATTGGGAGTGGAGGGGGCTGCTGCTGAGCTTCAGCTTGGTTGCTTCATCCCTCCTGCTTTAGGTAACACCTTGTTGAGAAAGCAGGGGAAACCAAAGCAGCAAGAGAATAGCTTTCAGAAGCTGATTTAGTCTTCTAGCCATGACAACACAGCCCAACTGTCCTGATTTTGGTCTGCTGTTGTAGAAAAGCTCAGTTTTCTGGCAGTTTGCTTATTTATTACAAATTCATAATACCAGCACACACAAGCCATAATGCATGACTTCTTTGGAACAGCAAGTCTTTTGCAAGATATTTATTTTAGGCTTCTGCTGAACACATGAATAAACCAACGAAAGAAACTACAATTATGACAATGATGAGGTCAATCTTGGAGAGAAAACTGTCTTGAGAGCACCCACTTAAGTGAAATTGTCACTTGTGGCAACTGTGTACATTCGCGGACACAGCAGGATGCGATTAATGGCTCCTTCAGCTCAATGGGAGGTGACGAAGCAGCTGCCTGGTGTTTTTAGCCTTCTTGCACACCAATGCTTTGCACCAGGGAGTGGTAGATGGGGATATTCTGACCGTCTCGCAGTTTCAAGGTGACATCCTGAAGACACCAGCTGACACAAACCAAAAGAGATTTTTAACTTGTTTTAACCACTTTTAATACAGTAGTAAAGTCAGTGCAGAAACAGCTGGCACAGAGAAACAAATCATTCCACACATTCAATGCTTTTAAAAATTCTCTCAAGCATTTTAAAGCTTGGTTTGCAAGTGCCACCTTCGGAAAGCTGTTTTCCCTAACAGTGCGGCACAGCCCAGATTTAAAGGTCTGGGATGCATGTTCCTATTTGTTGCAACTCAAATAAAATCCTGCCAGCTATTTTTAGACAGGACATTCCTCCCCCAGCCCGGTGCCTTTCTTCCTCTCCATCCTGCGGGTGCATTCCTTGCTCCTCTCCTCTCCTCTCCAGCCTTGGCGCCAGACTGTGTTGCTAAGGAATTATCCTGGCTTGGAGGAGTTTGAACACTGTGTGATCGCTCAATGTGACTGCTGAAATCCTGACAGGGTACAACACTGGTTACTCAAAGGAGAAGGCGTTTGTTGGAGGCTGAGAGGGGAGCCTTTTCCTTCCTCTAAGCTCTGCTCCCAACTCACTTCTGTGAGACTGCTCATGCTGCTTTTCCAGCTGGGAAGGACTATTATTTCAGGGTACAAAGACAGGATTTTTTTCAAAAGCTCCTGGTACTCGCCCTGCTTTTGCTGGAGTCGGTGCCAAGTACATACTGTTGGGTACTTGGGCTGTGGCACCTCTGTGCAATGGGTCTGTGGCAGGGCTCTTCACTCAGCCCCCTGCTCCTTCTATAACAGGGCTTGAAGGACCAACTGCTCGCTCCCCTCAGCGTGGGCTGGGGTCTCAGCCCTTCCCTCCACTCGCCTCGGGGCAGGTAAGTGTCATTTTGCAAGCCTAGTGCTTTGGTCACCCTTGCCTCCAGGCACCCTCCTCATCTCTGTGTTGACTGCACGCGAGTGAATGCCTCTTCACCCTTCAGGTCCAAACCAGCTCACGCACTCTAAATTTTCCTTTTTTCAGTTATCCTCTTTTTTAAATAACCACATAAATAAATAAACTACCATGGACAGACAGTGCACTCATAGTCAGAAGCATTTCAGTGTCTCAGGAGCCTTAACTACTCTTGCACAGACCACTCACCTCCTGGTGCCATTTAACTGTATCGGTCTGGTTGCCTCCACAGTCTTCACTGGGAATGCTCACATGCAGACTCACAGCTTTTTTTTAACTGTTAAGCTTGCAGAAGTGCATGGAGAGTTTGTTTTTAAAACAGAACTCAGAGAGATATGTATGCACTTCAATTACTGCTGTAGTTTAATGTCTTGCAATCTTCAGTTATCCTCATAGTAACTCAGTGAAATGGAGGGAAACTTATTTCCCTCCATCTGTGAGGAGGGATATGGAGGAGTGAGGAGGTCGTAGCTCAGGGTAGAACAGGTGTGCAAGAAAGGTGGCTGGGGATCTCAGGGGGTATCTCTGGTTGCTAGGGAGGAGGCCAGGCCTGGCCTTGAGTCTCTCAAGTTCCCCGCCCAGTGCCTTTTTCCCATCATTTTACACCTTACTTCCCATTGTTATTTGGAAGAGAAATCCAGTAAGTCATGCTCATCTAATTACAAACAGAAAACATTACCACATGGCTGGTGACAGTTAAGTAAAAATGTTGTATCTTTGGGTTTCTAAATAGAGCGAACAGAAGTGCCTAAGAAATTCCAAGAACAAGAATCTGTGAAGAGGTGTGTGTCCAATAAAATTTCCTGTTCTGCAAAAAAACCCAAAACTTCCTCAATGTCCAAAGATGGACTTTGAACTCATGTTGCAATTCTTTGCTGAGTTCTAGAAATCAGTTTACCCTTGAGAAGGGAGGTTTTCAGGCTTCAGCACTACCAAAATGTAAAGACACTACTATCTGATGTGGAGTCAGAGCATCCTTCTACTGTGATGTATCTATTACAGCACTTATTTTAACTGTAAGGACTGTATTTGTTGGATAGCTTGAAAAAAAATCCTGCACGATTTTTAGCTCACCTAAATGAGGTCCAATGTAATGTGTAATTTCCCTGCACCTCTCTGGGGAAGTGGGGTGGGAGAGGACAGTACGTTACTTTGGCTCACAGTATTTGTATGTATACTGAGCTATAGTTTGCAGAACACGTTTCACACAAATGAATGGCTCATTGTTGCTCTTCTGTTTGTATTCATAGAGATGAATTCAATATATTTCTCAACTAATTTACATTTTTGTCTTAATGACAGTAATAACCTTACACAAGACCTTCAGACGTGAATTTCCGCTTCCTTTGTGTGCATGACTTCAGCAACACGGATGACTGAAGCAAATATCCTGCTCCACTCTTTCCTCGTACCACCTCTCTCCCTGTGTCTATGCATTTCTCCCAGCACCTCCCCCAGTACGCACCATTGACGGGAGTGGTCCATCTCTGAGTTAATGTGGAGGTACCCTGCTGATTTTGTTCCAGATACTGGTAACTTTATCTGCAAACGTAAAAGTATATTAAAGATTCAGTGAAGACTGTTATGAAATGGACATTTACCCCTTCAAAGATGTAACACCTTCTTTTTAACTTAAACTCTAATTATTTTTCAAATGTATTTCAGAGTTTCACTAAGCTTTTCTAATGGCTAATGTGTGCATGGCTATACAGGTACATCTGTTCTACCATACATTAATCTCTCTCTGCTGAAAGAATGTAATGTGTTACAGCTGCAACCCCCAGGGAAAACCACTCACTCTCCAAAATATTTATGAGCAAACACCTTTCCTTACCAGAATGTGTGGGGATTCAGAGGTGATCTGCACTGTGTTAGAGCTTCCCATAACCATAACAAGCCTAGAGGTTGAGATGTCTATAGATCAGTCCCTTTAACACGCATTAAGGGAATGAGATGTTAAATTATTTTTCTCAGTGTCACAAATTCTCCCACTCAGTTGTTTAACAAACAAAGCTAGGAGCTGCAGCAGTGACCATGGCTAATTGTGCTCAGTCTCATGTCTGAATAAAAGAAATAGATTTCAGGTGTAGTGTTTGCTGGTGGTATTGCAATCACAAAGAGAAAATGCCAGGGGTTCTCCAGCAGGCTCAGGAGCTGGGAATGTTGCCGAGTCAGTACACTGACCTATGATATAATCATTAATGATGATTGGCCAGTTTATTTCATGAGAACATGAATGCTTAGGAGCATGAAAAAGTGGAGAAGAAAGTTGGTGGTTTGTGCCTTGGGTGAGGTCGGCAGAAGGCAGGGTTTGACTTCACCCTGAGTCACCCGAGCGACCAGCATTCTTAAACACTGACATCAGAAAACATCAGTGGGACAGGTTCTCTTCTTCTTTTCCATCGGAATAAGAGGTTGTGTGGTTTTTTTTATACATTTTGGCCTTAGATATCCTCCCTGGTAGAATCTAAAACCCAGGAAACACTTTAGCCCAGGGTATCATGCAGGGGAAGCCTGGCTGGAGTGAGATGGAAAGTAGAATTTATGCGAGTTGGTGAAAGGTTGGTTTTTCTTGCCCTGAAAGCCCCTCTCATTCACTGTACCATCTGCCCCATTCCTTAGTGCCCTTGCTTGGTCCCCAGGACTCAAAATCAGTCACCAGGAGGAACAAAATTATTCAAATGTGATGACATCCCCCAGTGAGGGACCTGGAGAGGTTGCTAGGGACATTTTGCATTTTTGCAAAACAAGGTAAGGGCAGACAGCCCTGGATTAAGGGGCAAAAAACACTGATGGAAAGTCCTTTTCAGGTGACAGCCTGGAGTGGAAGTGGACTTGTGTCTGCAAGGTTTGACTCGGCCCAGCCCTGGGCTGACACAAGGCATCATTGTGCAATGCTTCAGCACCCAGTGCTGCATTCTGCAGTCACTACGTAACCCACGCTCTCGGCCTCGTGCCGCGCAGCCGTCTTCTGTGGCACAGACTTATGAGCTCTTTAAAAACCACACCATTTGTGCTGTACCACAGCATAGCTCGTGAGTAGCTATAAACCTCTGTTCTGAACGCAGCTTTTAAAAATGAGCATCCGGTGGGGGGAGAGGGAGGCAGCTGCTAGTTTAAAGATGGATCTTGGTGTTTCTGAAAATGATTTTGCTGGCTTACAGTAGCTGGAGGGGCATCAACTGGCTTGGGAGGTCCCTTGGCATTCTGTGATGTGCCCATATAGCACAAAATGAGCAGCCTGGTCTAGTGGGAGGTGTCCACACCCATGGCAAGGGGGTTGGACTGGATGATCTTTAAGGTCCCTTCCAGGCAAATCCATTCTGTGATTCTATGATGCTCTTTCTGTTTCTGCTCCCTCATATTACTGCATAGATTTATGCTCTGGAAATTCTTCTCTGAATTGCTCTCCATCCCTCTTCTGAATCAAGTGGCATCCTACTCTACTGCCTTCCAGTGTCCTCAAGTCACTCATGACCTGCTGAAAATCCCCCATCTGGTCTCTTGTCAGCTAATGCCTTGTTAAGCCACCCTATGACACCACCTCCCCAGCGTTACCTGTGCTCTCTCTGTGTCCACACGGTTACTCCCATCCGTCAGTCGGATGTTGTGAACTTTAAGAGGAGGGGCGCCCAGGGCTTCCAGGGCATTAGGATTGCTGTTCAGTTGTTCCAAAGCCTGCTGATAATACTGGGTCCTTGCAAAACTCTCTAGGTGAGAGAAACACGGTGGTGAGAGAAACACAGTATTGAGAGACTGTCTACTTAAAATCAAAATATAACTAAAAAAAGGACATTTCCTCCAGACTACCACATGCTCCATGAAAACCACTCTGAAACTATTAATTAGAAGAAATCTGGCTAAGGGAGAAAACACACCCTTGCATCAGAGAAGGAGTGCTGAGCTGTGACGTTATTCCGCTCACTTAAGTGAAGAGGGCTCTGAATATAGCCTGTGCCATACTGATACACAGTTCAGCTTATGGCTGTTTCTCCCTGCTTTTCATACACTTATGCATCATCTGAAAGGAGAAATTAAAAGAAAAAAGAGGGAAAAAAAGCGTAAGGATGAGTATCTGAAAATGTTCTGAATGTAATTCAATTTTTTTTTTAAAGGAGGTACAGAAAACACTTTAAGAATGGAGAATGTTTCACAGACGTCGGTGTGAGACAGGAACTGCTACTGCTTTGAAAATCTTGCTGTGGTCTTGACATAGTTTTTCAAGTGGCAGCCATGAAGCTGCAGCTCTACTGATGGATGCGTTCAAGGGGAGGCACAAAACAGCACCATTAGAGTAAATAGTCAAGCAACCACAATGGCACAGCAGACTGGATGCCGCAGTGCCGGCACATGGAGCACAATTGTGCTAAATTGCTATCTGTCAATGTCTGGTTACTATGGATAGCTGGGAAATGCTGCCCATTGGTGACCACTGCACAATGCAGAGCTGTGAGGCTGGAAATGTGCCGACCCTCTTACAGAGGCAAAGATTTGCTTATAAACAGTCGTAAGGCTTGCCTGCTGAGATTTCTAGATGCAGTTCACGCCAGCCTGACTTCACTCTCTTGACCCCAAGAAGGGCAGAGTTAAGCTACGAGTGTACATGTGTAAAAATTCTACTCTGGCAACTTTGCTCTTGCAATGTCTTGCAAGGAAGGGTCTTGCAACCCTTCCAATGAGTTTAAAACAAGGTGTAAGGTTTGCTGCCTGCTCTCTTGCCTGTCAGTATTACTCTTGGAGCTGCTCCCTCTCCTCAATTAGAGGCATCCCTGGAGCAGTCAGCATCCAGTTGGCATAGAAACAGCTTTGCTAAGCTGCAGCCTGTGCTAGTCCTCCCTGGGCCATTCTAAGGAGCTCCAGCAAAAGGGGTTGCAGCACACCAGCCCTTTAGTGTCTACAGATCATCGAAAGCACCCACCCAGACCATGTTAAAAGTGTGTTGTGCGGGCTGGAGGGGAAATGTGTTTGAGTTTTCTGATGCTCCTTCTTAGCTGTTCCTTGTTAGCATCTCAAGTATTGGACATAAAATGCCCGACTAATCCGTTTGTCTGCAGGTTTTCAGTAGGAGAGCTGAAAGGATGCTGGGGGTTGGCTGGGAAGATGTGAGGAGGGTGTGGAGGTGAAGAGTGAGTGCAAATAGGATTACCTGAGTGTTTATACAAGCTTTTATCGTGACCATGTGCATACAAACCTCTCTTCAGCCTGAAGGAAGCACCCCTCCTGCTCCCACCACTACTGAAGCCATGTGCTCCTCACAGATCCCAGTATGGGCCAGTTCTGTGCACTGGGATAGCAGAAGGAACTGGGATAATCCTGGGTATGGGCAAGGCAAAAAGGGTCCCAGTGTGGCTCCCCTGTCTGTTGGAGGTTACAGAAGGACACGCTCTGCAACAGAAAGTGTCCTCTCAACAGCCTGGTTGGCTCGTCACCAAGTTACTTGCTTAGTTACAGCTACTCCAGTGTAGGGCTACAAAGATGATCAAGGGAGTGGAGGATCTCCCTTATGAGGAGCGGCTGAGGGAGCTGGGTCTCTTTAGTTTGCAGAAGAGGAGACTGAGGGGAGACCTCATTCATGTTTATAAATATTTAAAGGGTGAGTGTCACGAGGATGGAGCCAGGCTCTTCTCGGTGACAAACAATGATAGGACAAGGGGTAATGGGCACAAGCTGGAACACAGGAGGTTCCACTTAAATTTGAGAAGAAACTTCTTCTCAGTGAGGGTGACAGAGCACTGGACCAGGCTGCCCAGAGAGGTTGTGGAGTCTCCTTCTCTGGAGACATTCAAAACCCGCCTGGACGCCTTCCTGTGCAACCTCATCTAGGTGTTCGTGCTCCGGCAGGGGGATTGGACTAGATGATCTTTTGAGGTCCCTTCCAATCCCTAATGTTCTGTGATTCTGTGATACTTGGTGGCCACCGATATTGCACCAGTGTAAGATGTAGCCATCACGCTGCACCAAGTGATTGTACAGCAAAGCAATCTGGGGAACAATCCCTTTGACTTCCTGCATAGCACGGGGTGGGGGGAGGACAATTTTTTTCTCCCCAGAGATTTCTAGATAACAGTGCTGAAGCTGAAATTTAAAAATGCTAATGTTAAAGCCAGATTCAATATATTAAAGTGTAAGAGGATCCTACATCTGTCATGTACACCAGAGCTTGAGGGCACGAGCTGCCTAAAATTAAAGCCTGCTTTCCAGCCTTGTCTGATTTGTTATTAATATGTGTAAAATGAAAGGGAGGTTTCAGAGCTTATCTAAGGCCTTGAGGAACAGGCTTGGCTACACTTTTCTGGCAGCATCCTCTGATATAAGGGTAGGTGAAAAGCAGTATCATTTGATAGAACCAGTGGGGGAGAGGCACAGGGTCAAGAGGCCTATAGCACCCTGCAAAAGAGAGGCAAAGCCTGTTTCTGCTCTGCTGCTAAATATCTAAAAGCAATTTTAGAAAAAAAAATAAATCTATATTTTGGACTAATAATTTGGATTATTGGCCAAAGACACATAGCAACTAGAGCTGTCTATAAACAACAACATTACCTGTCTAGCTTTTCTCTCCTTGTCCTGGTCTTCTCAATGCTGAGTGTTCTAATCTGTTCAGGAGAAACTAATGATGTCTTAGCTCTTCAGGTATGTTGTGTTTAAGGGCCAGCACCACAGAGAGATTTACAGATAAAACTGCCAGACTTTAATACCTTCTCACAGATGGTACTCTTTTCCTGCCCATTTGTAAAATCTCAGTAAGAAATGAAACCTGTGTTACTCCCTAAGCTTTCACTTCACCCTCACCCTCAGGAAACCTCCCAGAAACCAGACAATCTCCTGATAGCTACCTCTGGAAATGTGTGCAGCAGTGCTGGGCAGATCGGCAGCCCTGGGGCTGAAAAAAGCAGAGTCCACAAAGGCAGAACTCAGAGGTTCAGCCACACTTCCCTTAACTTCATCTGCTTTTCACATCTTGCATGCTGCTATTTTCCTCACTACACAAAGGCAAATAAAAGGGGCAGAGGAGAAATAAGGTTGCTAACAGTACTTACTTTGCATAAGATTATACATCACGATGCATCCTCCGCCACTGAACAGTCCCATGAAAACAGCCATTTGCTGCAGTTTTCTTAGAGAAGCTGGCATTTTTCCTCCCTGAAAATAAAAAGGGAAGACATTTGTTGTAAAAGAAGAAAGCTAAAGGGTTATTCCCCCACCCTCTTTCCAACCAGGCCTGAATGAAAGTGCAGTGCACAGGCCTCGGGTTCTTGCTCGCTGGGGCCCCACTGTGTGCCCAGAAGGGTGGTGAGAACAGAGCAAACCGGGGACCCAGCCGGGTTGAATGTGTTTATTCAACTTCTTTTAGTGATGCCACTACTTTGCTAATTGCCGAGAAGAAAATGACCTCCCCGGTGTGGCCAGGGGCCAGCGCTGTGGTGCATTGTCACGGGGGCTCCCGGTGCCTGTGCGCTCGCTCACACACTGCGGGCATTCAGGCTCCGGGGGCTGGATTTCTCTCTCGAGTAAACTCCTCTAAAGTAAACACGCTCACGGCAGGGCTGGATTTGGCCTGGAGTGGCGAGGGACAGCTCCAAGCCAGCACTGCGCCAGCAAAGATAATGGAGCCAGGGGTGTGTGTATTCTGTTGTGTTGTTTTTCTTCCCAAGCTGTGGATAAACAGGAAGGCTCTTGCAAGCTATTTTTCTTCCTTCCTGCACCCCCTCCAGTCCAAGCTTGCCCTTTTAATGAGTCACAATTCTGGCATTTGAATGAATGACCCAGCAGAATAAGAAACACCTCTGAGAAAGTCAATCTACTAAACACTTGCCTGGTCGGGGTAAGAGAGAGGGGCTGTGTGGCCTGAAGAGACTGAGCTAATGCTCCTGCCCACAGCAGGTTAGCATGAGCTGACCAAGTCGTCAGTGGGAGAACAGAGCATTGCTTCAGGCTTTGGCAGGATGAGACTTGACTCAGCTTCCGAGTATTGGCTTATGCTCGTGCTTCTCTTACAAGAGATGGTAGGGAGGAAAGGTCTTGACACAAAAAACAAAAAAAAATAGCAAAAGGCTGCCCCTTTTGATGTAGGCACACAGACATCTGAATACTTGGGGAAGTTTTATGGGATTTCTAATCCCAAAGGCTTCACGCCTTCATCCTCGTGCCACGATGGTGTGAGTTAAGTGTTACACTAAGCGGAAACTGGTTATTTAACCAAGGCCCAAGCCAGTCACGCAAATGTGACCTGGGCAAGTCACTGCCATTGGAGTCCTGTTGTGAAAACCACCTCTAGCATCCCTCCAGTATGTGTTAGTCAGGTATTGCTCATCTGACAACCACAGTTTAGAGGGTGGAGAAGCAAATGTCAGGACTCTTTCAATGGGTCAGGGTGACATGGGCAGCCTCTCTTGGCTCACCCCTCTACTGATGTGCTCATGCACTGTCTCTTGCATCCACTAGTCTGAGGGAAATTGTGAATGCAGCCCAAGTATAGTTTTCATCTACTGCCCTGTCAGCACCAGTGTTCAAGCAGAATGTATGCTATCCCTTAGTCAAAGGCTTTCCTTGTTAATTAGTTCCCTTGATTTTTAAGAGCTCTGAATATTTAAGTTTACTGTTTAATTTGCTTCAGATTTGCTAGTAATGGTAGCAACCCAGAGAAGCATGTGGGTATTATGTCTCCTCTATGCCCCCAAATCCCCAAATTGTGCCATTAGTACAGTCAGTCACCATCTCTCTCACTCCTGACCTGTCACTCTGATGAGTTTTCTCCTTCACTTCCCCTGGGGAACTTGAGTGGTGTGAGAAGTTGCAGCAGAAGAAGTGTGTTTTTACAGAGAAACAGTGGCAATCATTTCACAACGACAGCGAGAGCTTCCTGCTTGCCCGCTTGTGTTTGCAGCTTTCCTTAAATCACAACTTAAAACATTATTTTTCCCCCATCAAACTGCAAAATCCAATTAACAACAGAGTTTCCTGTAAGATCAGTCAGGCCAGGAGGAGGATCTGAAGCTAACACCACATAACAGGGAGAAAAAAGAACAACAAACAAAAACAGGTCGTAAATCTGGCGGATGAGATATAACAGGCTGTGACCCACGGTACTTGGTTTTGCCCCTTTTAAAAGTTGTAGTCATACAAAACTTGCTTTCTGTGATGAAACTCAGGGTAGATGAACACAAATGGCTGAGGGTGGTGGATGCTGCTGGCAGTTAGCTGACTAAAATGGGGAAGATGCAGAGCTCTTGCACCAGCGAGGAGGTTTTGACCAAGGCTCAGAGGACCTGCCTAGCAAAGGATGGAAATTAGAGGCTCTGCAACTTGCTGCCAGCGGGTTTGAGGTTTGTCAGGTCTCACGGTCTGCTTGCACCCAAACAAGGGGGATGGAAAGCAAGAGGAGCTTCCTGCT